AAGAGGTATGGGCAAGTATAAGCCTACATGACAAAGAGTCTGTCCTTGACTTATATTGATTGTATTGCGAATGAGACCATCAACGGAAACTGACGCAGTTGGAATTTAATAGGCAATGCAGAGTTGGACGGTACCAAAGTCATTCAAGAAATGAACACCATATCGCCAACATGTGCAGTTGAGAATGTGGTTTCCCATATTAATAACCTGAAGCCTGATTCCATTGCACAATCCTCTAGCTAGTCTGATCAATATTTCTGATGAGCATAACGGGAACACATTTTTTCAATGTCAACATATGCGGTGAATTCCGGAGCATGATATGGTGTTGAGAAAGTCCAGGGAATATATTTCTGCGTTGGCATCCGTTAACAACTCTTCGTTACACATACTATTGGAGCTGGAATAGACATTCTCTTCTTCCGTTATGGTTGACAAAAAATGATCATTTAAAAAACCGATACTTTCATTAGTCAGTGCAAGAATTGCTCTGCCCTTGAAATATTCGGGAGTGAACAAGTTGGTCACCAAATCGGGATAAAAAAAATTGATAAGATCCAAAAGGGATCTGTAGAATTACGAATCAACATGTCATTGAGAATTTCAATTGTAGCATCAACATCATTGATCTCGCCAACATCGCCATTGTCGATTCTCAATATCCACTCTGCAAATTCTCTTATTTAATTTGCATTGGTGGAAGAAGAGGACGAGTGAAGTCTCATGTTCCTGTTAAACCTCATAACCTTACATTGTCTCCACAACAATGATGAATTGATTGTAGCATGAACAATGTCTTCTCTCGATGCTTTCAACACAACTGGCAGAATTTGCCGAAAGTTCCCTTCAAGAACTACAACTTTGCCTCCGAATGGCATATCTAAATCAAGTATTGATTTCATTGTCTTGTCAAGTGCTTCGAAACAATACTTGTGCATAATCGGTGCCTCGTCCGATAATGATTAGCTTTGCTTTAGACAACAATTTTGCCTGTGGACTTTGTTGCTTGATGCTGCATATGGAGCTCTCATGTACAATTATTGGCAGTCCAAATCTCGAATGCGCAGTTCTGCCACCGGGAAGTAGAAGCGAAGCAATGCCACTAGAAGCAACATTTATCACTATTTTGCCTTTTGAACAAATAGCAGTCGATAAAGTTATCATATGAAAGTCTTTCCCGTTCCTAAATGCCCATAAAGAAAGAATAGTCCACCTCTGTCATTTGTAACAGTATCCATGATATCATCGAACAATTTTTTCTGCTCATCAGTAATGGATGAAAGGTATTTCTTAAATTCTTCACGTGTCGCATCAACGTCATAGTCCCACTCGTCGGGAACCAATCTATTTACCCCTAAGTAATTTTAGTAAAGGCATAATAGTCTTTTAGTAATTCATTTGGTGAAAAAATAGTTTTGTCTTCCCCTAAGTAATTTTAACTTACATCAAGGATATTTTACAATATTAGCATATTTGTTTCATTTATAGATTGCCGCTCATTTTAAAATTTGAATTTTAGATTTTTATAATATTTCCAAAATTATTCTTACAATCCATACTATATAATGTCCCTATCTCAGTGTTATTTTCAATACTCGAGCCATATATTTCACATTGATGTATGTAATTCTTTTTCTCCGCCGGAATTTTTGTTTTATATTTTTTATTCGTTTTTTTAGTCCTCATTTCTTTACGCATAATATTTTACTGATTTTAGTATCTTCCATGTTAATTTATTTTTTGTAGATTAGAATCACAAATCCAAATTCATTCAAGAATAAAATGTGTGTTCAATCCAAATTATGTGTACTTTGTAACAATCATTTGATCGTAATTTGGATCCATGTATGTGTATTTCATGCAACGGATCCATCAAAGTCGAAATGCGCATGAGGCCATGTATTATATGTGGTATAGTGGCAACGGAAGATTTCAAAAACTTTTTTCAATAGTGGGTTGTGTGAGTGTATCCTTATACATAATATGTGTATACCGTCGAATGAAAGTGGGAATTTGGCTCCATATGGAGGTGTGGTGAATTTGATTGGTCTTTTAACATGAATTTGTATCAACCAATTTCAATTGAAAATGAATTCTATTTTGACGACGCTGTAATAGATTGTAATGCCTCGCTCAT